TCTCTGTCTGATTTTCTCCTGCCTTCCTGCTTCCCAGTCCCCCTTCTACCCTAAGGCTGGCCACAGAAATCAGAATTCCTCTTCCCCACAGTGGGCCATAGAAATTAAACATATTTCTCTCAACTTCCATTGCCTTTCTGCATAAGAGCTGGCCATAAATAAATTATCTGGTCTACCTTGTCTGATAGTAAATCATAAAACCCTTATTCCAGAAGTGGCCCTGTTCTATACCCAGGAGGAAGGAATGCCACACAGAGAGGCCAAGAAGAACCCAAATAGACAGGACTTGCTGGGTTGTTCCCCTTCAATCTATTACATTAGATTACTTCCTTTTTGTCCAATCCTATTTTTACATGGTGGTCCACTCTTCATTGAATCTAAGCATAAAAATGGAGTTTTCCCTTGGGTCTTTGGGTCTTCATTGTGAAGGCTTCCATGTCACACAAAACTTCAACTAAATAAATTTGCCTTGCTTTTCTCTTGTTAACCTGTCTTTCCTTATAGGAGTGTCAGCCATGACACTAGCCCTTCCCTTTTTTTTGTGAGATGGAGTGTTGCTCCGTCACCCAGGCTGGAATGCTCGGCTCACTGCAACCTCCAACCTCCCAGGTTCAAGTGATTCTCCTGCCTCAGCCTCCTGAGTAGCTGGGATTACAGGCACCTGCCACTACGCCTGACTAATTTTTGTGTTTTTAATAGACACAGGGTTTCGCCATGTTGGCTAGGCTGGTCTCAAACTCCTGACCTCAGGCGAACTGCCGACATCAGCCTCCCAAAGTGCTGGGATTATAGGCATGAGCCACTACACCCGACAGCCATGACCCTTTTGAGGCCTGAGGAAAGGTATCACAGCATTTTTACCCTACAACAGAGAGCAAAAACAACTTAAATCAGCTCCAAAAGTCTACCATCATTTTTACTATCCTAAAATTCAAAATTCTTTGTAGGCGAACATACAGTGTTTGGTCATTTTTCTATCTGCTTCTACATTAACTACACAAAATGCTATATCTTCTTTGTTCCTCTTTAAAATAAAATAATAAACTTTTAGTATAGGTTTCTCACTACAACTGAAATACATAAATACAAGTTTTGTCTATGATTAAGAAATTTTCAAAGTTAAATTTTTCCTTTAAGTACTTCCAAATTAAAATTACAGATCAGTAAAAATGAGCCATGAGGAAATAATGTAAGCATTTTAAGGCCCTTTTCTCCTATTTTATCAAATTACTGGTACATTGAATTTAATAGACAAAAATACTTTTATAAAGTATGCTCACAGCAGAATTAAAGAATGGTTGAATCATCCCGAACAATTTCTGCTATCAAAAAGAGGCAACCGAAAAAGAGACATTTAGAAAGTAAATCTAAGTTAATGTGGCATCAAAGAATGAAAAAGAAATTTCTTACAAAAATGTTTTACTGACCAAAGTAGTTACATTTTGAGGGAACATGAAAGGTATGCTTTCATGGCTTTAACCTTCTTGTTCCTGTTTCGGGAAAAACTCTCCCTCCAGTCTCACTTTACAATAGTTGCTACAAAAATATAATTGCTGCTTTTTCTGCCCTGCACCTCACCTCGCTTTCGACTTTCTTGAGGAATGTTCTAAGGCTCCAGAGAGAGCTAAAATAGAAAATAAGAAGGGGAAAGAAATATTTGGAAAACAAGCATAAGGAAGACTATCATGACATGTGATTAAAACATATCATGCATACCTCCATAAAACATAAGGAGGACTATCATGACATGTGATTTCTTGGGGCCAGATCATGAACATCCAAGACCAAGAATAATCATTATTTCATTAAGGAGAAAGGAGAGTTTTTGAGAAGAGTGATTTGGCCAGATACACCAAAGGTAAAGCTTCAGGACTGCCCTGAAAGAGTATGGAAGCAGGAAATGTTGGGTTGTTCCTAGGATGGTTCTCAGGATATCAGTCAGGGCAGCAAACAGGCAGTGATCAAGCTGGGTAATTTAAGAAAGATAAACAAAGAATACTTGCAGAGATGTGGGCAGTTTAAGGAAACTGACAAAGAATAGTAATGCTACCATAATCACTCCTAGACCTGCAGCAACCAAGGGAGCAGGAGGATGGCTGCATGGACAGGACTACCTGATGGGAGCTGTGGCCTTTTGATGGACTTTTGATGACAATCTGCATACATGCCCTCACTCTGTTCATACCTTCTGATCTTCTGTCACTGCCCCTGCAGGCCAAACCCAGCTGGAAGCCAGGGACAGAGTGGATGCAGAAAGGATGTGGAGAAGCAGATGACTATTTCCAGTCTAGGAAAATAGTGGTAAGGTAATGGCAATGGGAATGAAATAGAGACAAACCAAACAGGACTTTTACATTGATTGGATTTGGGGATAGGAAGAGAAAAGTCAAGGATGACTTCATAGTTTCAAGGCCAAGCTCTAGACTAGAATGATGATAACATCAACTGAGTTGGTTTTTTACTAATTCTCAATGCCAGCACAGTGCCTCAGGCATCAAAGGCCTTCTATAAACATTTACTGGGAGAAAAAGAAGGGATGGATGGATGGATGGATGGATGGATGGATGGATGGATGATGGAAGGAGAAGCAAATTTAGAAGAAGATGATGTGTTATGTCGTTTTAGCCATACTGAGTTTAGAATGTGGTGAAAAAGCCCAGGAGGTAGTTGGAGATTTAATCCTAGAGCTCTGAGAAAAAGAAAAGAAAAGAAAAGATGTACCTGTAAGAACCAGCTGCACAGAAGTGGTAGCTGACACCATGCCAGTGGATGACATGTCACAGAGAGCATATAGAGGGAAAAAGTGGGATCTGATGACCAAACTTAGGATCTCTCTGTATTTATGGGATATAAGGAGGAAGGGAAACCAACAAAGGAAAAAGACAACATATATCGCCATTTGCTGTACTATTAATGCATATTCACATATATTTATGCATCTCTGGTGGACCTTCTTTTTTTAATGAAGGGGACTTTACATATTTATTTCAGAATCAGGGTCTCGCTCTGTTGCCCAGGCTGGAGTGCAGTGGTACCATCACAGCTCAGTGCAACTTCAAACTCCTGGGCTCAAGGGAGCCTTCCTCAGCCTCCTGAGTAGCTGGAACTACAAACGCATGCCACCACAGCCGGCTAATTTTTTTATTTTTTGTAGAGACAGGGTCTCGCCATCTTCCTCACGCTGGTCTTGAACTCCCGGTCTCAAGGGATCCTCCCGCCTTGGCCTCCCAATGTGCTGAGATTACAGGTGTGAGCCACCATACCTAGATAGAGCCATCTATTTCTGGAAACTGTATAGTCTTGCCTAAAATAAGAATGATACAAATGCAACCTGGAGACCACAACTTATCCACTTACCTCAGTAAGATTTTTTGTTAAGCCCCAAATCTCAGTCTTACTGCTTTTGCTCACCTTGAATCTATCACAATATTAACACCCTTTAATTAGATAACCCTATAATGTTTACTCTTTCAAACAATCACAAATTTAATACCTAATATGTGTCCAGTACTATGTGGAAGTAAAAGTCAGTCTCTAGTCTTCAAGGAAATTAAAATCCATTTAGATTATTTTTTAAAAAATGAATATGGCTGGGCATGGTGGTTCATGCCTGTAATCCTAGCACTTTGGAAGGCCAAGGCAGGTGGATCACTTGAGCTTAGGAGTTTGAGACCAGCCTGGGTCACATGGCAAAATCCTGGCTCTACAAAAAATATACACATACACACAAACAGCCAGGTGTAGTGGCAAGTGCCTGTAGTCCCAGCTACCTGGGGGGCTGAGGCAGAAGGATCGCTTGGGTCCAGGGAGTTGAGGCTGCAATGAGCTGAGATTGTGCCACTGGACTCCAGCCTGGGTGACAAAGTAAGACCCTGTCTAAAAAAAAAACTACTGAACATAAAACAGAGTTTAATTAAGAGCTGACATGTATGATCCAGATCATACCATTTAACAGTTGTCAACATCTGCTCTTTTTTTCCTAATTCAGAAGATTGACAGAGAAGCTAACTCCTACATATTTGTACCTCCTATTAAAGTTCCAATGACATTACACTATATAGTAAATTTCTTTTTACTTTTCTTCCCCAGTACTCCATAAGGTCTCAGTTATCTTTGTACCTAGTGTCTGGCACATTGTAACGATTCAATTAAATGTTTGTCAAGTAAATGAATGAATGAATGAGAAACCAAGCCAAGCCCAGAACAGTTGTGTCAATACATTCAACTCTCTCCTATGGCAAATCCCAAAAGTTTAAGGCTCAAAGCAGTTAGCTAATATGGTCTTTAACCTAGTCCTGGCCACATGAGATGACTGATGTTAAAGCCTTGATGCTGAATGTTAAAGCAGGTTCCGGGGGGGGGAGGAACCCAGCAAATTCTAAAATGCTTTTAGATAAGAAAAAGTCTAGTACAATGCTGAAACTAAACTGAGTCTATTTACTCATTGCTATTAAGTTAATTTCATTGGTTAATTCTCCAGCTTAACCCCCTCTAGGATAAACCTGGCTCCCAGTGAAAGGGAGATAAATCCTGTAAACCACACAATCAACAGTGCCTCTGATACTCAAGTGCACATCCTAGTCACCTACAGATCTTATTAAAGGTTCTGATAAATTACATCTAGAGTGAGGCCTGAGATTCTGCATTTCCAACAAGCTCCCAGGGGCTATTATGCTGCTGGTACACAGACCACACTTTATATCAAGAGTTTGTATGACATTGCAGCAAATACATCTACAGACTTAAAGCCAGAGTTAAGCTATATTTGTTTTTGCATTTCCTATCTATACAACCTTAGATAAGTCATTTCACTTCTCTGACCCCTCCTTGTTTCAACTGTGAAAATAATATAGTTAATACAATAATTAATAACATAGTTAATACTAATAGCTAACACATATTGAGTTCTTACTATGTAGCAGGAACTAATGCTTCATGTTTGTCAACTTATAAATAGGGCTTAGGTCAAACATTCTCTCCAAGTAATGGTGAACTGATACCTGATTGTAGGCCGTTTGACTCAAGAACCACTGTGTAACACCATGTAGCACTGCCTCTTCATTTAGCTCCCAGACCCTATGAAAATGAAATAATAATCGCTATTTAGCTAACTTGTATTGAGTACTCATATGCTCCAGGCCCTAGTTTAACCCTCCCTTGGAGAATATTAACTCATTTATCTTATAACCGCCCTAGGAAATATTATTATCTCCATCTCACAGGCCTTAAAATAGGCCTCCGCAAGTAAAATTGCTGAAGGACCAACAGCTGCACAGTCAGGATTGGAACCCAGGCAGTGTTAACTGCAGAGCCTGGCCGAGAGGATGTGACCCCAGAGCTCCAAATCAGTTAGTTCACTAGGGTCGGTGCACACCTGCGCTTACTAGGGGCGGCTGCATTGCCAGCGCCACTCACTCCCAAAACAAACCGAGTCTTCTACAATTAGCTCTGTATCTATGAGATGCTACCTTCTTCGGGCCACAGCTAGGAACCCTGAAAGCAGATTATGACTCCGGTGAAACAACTTGGCCCTAAGAAGGGTGACTGTCTAAACATCTTCACAACGGATTTACACTGAAACTGTAACACGCACTGGATTGGAAACCCACACCACAGGCAGCCCCAGGAATTTGTACCAGTCCCGGTCCTGGACGGCGCTCCCGGACCAACCCTCCGGACCGCCCCTCTGGATTCCTCTACAAGATTGTCCCTGGACTGCCATCCTAAGACCGCCCCCTGAACTGCCACCCAAGGACCGCCCTCTCTAGACCGCCCCCGAGACTATCCCCGTACCGCCCCCTAGGCCTCCCCGCGAAGTGTCTCTGGACCGCCCCCCAGACCGCGCCTCGCCCCGCTGCGTCCTGGGAGTCGCAGTCCCAATCCTACTCTGGAACTTGCAGTACTGGCTGCTTGCGCCAGCTCCGCCTCCATCCGGCGCCAGCCAAAAGGTCCCACTTCTAATCCCATCATCCACATCGCCCTCTGCCGGCCTTGCGTCTGGTCGCCCGGGTTGCGAGCCAGTTCCGGGCGCTCCGGAAGGGAACCTTTCTCTTCCGGTTTGGGCATCCCGGCAGCCGCACGTGGTTGTGTGGCCGGAGTTTCGGCTGCCACTGTAGAAAAAGTAACTTCAGCTGCACCCGCAAAGCTAGTGAGCCGAGTTGGAGCCATGGAGGGCCAGAGCGTGGAGGAGCTGCTGGCAAAAGCGGAGCAGGGCGAGGCAGAGAAGTTGCAGCGCATCACGGTACTCAAGGAGCTGGAGCTGGAGTTTGACCTGGGCAACCTGCTGGCTTCGGACCGAAACCCCCCGACAGGGCTGCGGTGCGCCGGACCCACGCCGGAGGCCGAACTGCGGGCCCTGGCGCGGGACAATACGCAGCTGCTCATCAACCAGCTATGGCAGCTGCCTACGGAGCGCGTGGAAGAGGCAATAGTGGCGCGGCTGCCCGAGCCTACCACACGCCTGCCGCGAGAGAAGCCTCTGCCCCGGCCGCGGCCACTTACACGCTGGCAGCAGTTCGCGCGCCTCAAGGGCATCCGTTCCAAGAAGAAGACCAACCTGGTGTGGGACGAGGTAAGCGGCCAGTGGCGGCGGCGCTGGGGCTACCAGCGCGCCCGGGACGACACCAAGGAATGGCTGATTGAGGTGCCTGGCAATGCTGACCCCTTGGAGGACCAGTTCGCCAAGCGGATTCAGGCCAAGAAGGAACGAGTGGCCAAGAACGAGCTGAACCGGCTGCGTAACTTGGCACGCGCGCACAAGATGCAGCTGCCCAGCGGAGCCGGATTGCACCCTACCGGACACCAGAGTAAAGAGGAGCTGGGCCGCGCCATGCAGGTGGCCAAGGTCTCCACAGCCTCTGTGGGACGCTTCCAGGAACGTCTCCCCAAGGAGAAGGCGCCCCGGGGCTCCGGCAAGAAGAGGAAGTTTCAACCCCTTTTCGGGGACTTTGCAGCAGAGAAAAAGAACCAGTTGGAGCTGCTTCGTATCATGAACAGCAAGAAGCCTCAGCTGGATGTGACGAGGGCCACCAATAAGCAGATGAGGGAGGAGGACCAGGAAGAGGCTGCCAAGAGGAGGAAAATGAGTCAGAAGGGCAAGAGAAAGGGAGGCCGGCAGGGGCTTGGGGGCAAGAGGAAAGGGGGCCCGCCAAGCCAGGGAGGGAAGAGGAAAGGGGGCTTAGGAGGCAAGATGAATACCGGGCCGCCTGGCTTTGGTGGCAAGAGAAAAGGAGGACAGCGTCCAGGAGGAAAGAGGAGGAAGTAATAGTTTCTCGCCGTCGCATCTGTCTGTAAACCAAGAACTATAAATACTAAATGTTAAGTTGTAGGTACTTATACAGGGACTCAGAAGGACGTGGCCGCTGCCTTCATTGAGCTTGAAGGGACAGGACTGCCCCCCCCTCAAGAGAGTACGTAAGTGTTGGACTGCACAAATTCATGTTTTTCCCACAACCGAAACTTTGGCTGGAGATGAAGAACTTAGGTGAGGATTTTAAGAATTAAGGAAATAATTTGGTGGAAACCGGGAAAGAGTTCTGTTCTTAAACAGCCTTTTTTCTTCTTTTTAACTTTGGAAATAGGGTAGGGGGAAGTTGGTCATATTTCACAGACTTAGACTGGTGTATATGTTTCTGCATTATTTTTACAACACGCTTGTACATCAGAGCAGGGGAAGGAAATACAACAATTTCAGAATTGAATAGGCAAGTGAATGTTTAAAAGGTTAAGTAATAAAGATGTCTTGTCTATTGTTGCTTTTAACTTTCTGACTACTGGGTAGCAATTGTATGTGAAGCCAGTTACCTGGATACCTGGTACATATTATTTTGTATTTACTTTCTAAAAACCACAAAGCAGCCCAGGCGTAGTGGCTCACACCTGTAGTCCCAACAATTTGGGATGCCGAGGTGGGCTGAGGTCAGGAGTTTGAGACCAACCTGGCCAATACAGTGAAACCTCATCTCTACTGAAAATTTAAAAATTAGCCGGATGTGGTGGCTGATGCCAGCTACTCGGGAGGCTGAGGCCGGAGATGCGTTTGAACCTGGGAGGCGGAGGTTGCAGCGAGGCCAGATCGTGCCATTGCATTGCACTCCAGCCTGGACAACAGAGAGACACTCCATCTCAAAACAAAAAACAAAACACAAAGTAGTTAAATTATGATGGATTCAGTGAGACCACTTTTACACATATACTTCTTTTGGTATCAGATATAATATTGAAAGTAGTAAAACCCATGTCTGTTTTTTAAAAAGATTTTATGCCTTTCAACACTGAACAGCTGGATTTCCTGTAAATGATCAATTTGGGCTTCATTGACTAATGGTAATAATCCTCATTAATCCAGAAAACACTTAAGTCTTTCTCTCCATTATATCCCCCGTTGTTTGTTTTTGTTTGTTTGCTTGCTTTTAAGCTTGACAGCAAGCATAGCTTTGTTTGGGAAAAAAAGAAACAGACCCATAAGATCCTTAATTAGGATATTATTATCTTTTTTTTTTTTTTTAAGTTCCAGGGTACACGTGCAGGATGTGCACCTTTGTTACATAGGTAAACGTGTGCCATGTTGGCTTGCTGCATCTGTCAATCCATCACCTGAGTATTAAGGCCACCGTCCCCTTCTATCCCCCTCCCCTAGGCCCCAGTGTGTGTTGTTTCCCTCCCTGTGTCCATGTGTTCTCATAGAACATTGTTATCTTTCAATTCATTTGTCAAGTTGGCCTGAGCTCATTGATTAGGAGGTGAAATGTTTACATAGCTGTCCTTGGTCTTCTTCCTGTCCATCAGTTTCTTCCAGTTTGATCTCAGTAAATTTATTTCTGTAAAACTTAATATCTCCTGAAAAGATTCAGATTTCATAATAACAGATTACTAAAAATGCAAATTAGTTGTTACTGTTTTTGGATACTTTCTGATAAAGTTGAGCTTTGTCGTTAATCAGCTTTTCCACTGGGACATGACAGACAGGGCACTGCCAAGCCCTCCCAGATTATAGTCTAATCATGGCAAGTTTTAACTACTAATGAAACCATTTTGCTTTCATCAAAAACAAAGCCATTCACACCGCTTTTAACAAAGACCCTCGGCTCTGTGAGGTTCTTGTTTACTGTGAAATGATTTAAAGGCAGGGTGTTGATGACTTAAAGTACTCTCAGAAGGCAAAGTAACATTTTAAAGGATTCACAATGGAAAAAGGAAGTCCCTGTTCCTCTCCCTTTCCCCAAGTCCTCAACATGTGAAAAGCAGAGGGTAAGTAAGGAGATTTAAGGCGGGACCTTATGCAGTTACCTTCTACGGCAGTATGGTGCAAGTGGGCAGTATGGTGCAAGTGCCGCTGGGGCAGCTGAGGTTCTGGTTCTGACTCTGGGAAAATGGCCCTGAGCCCAGCTGGACTGGAGCTTTAACTGGTGACCCCGCGGAGCGGGTGGGCAAGGCAGAGGGACGGGAGGCTGGCCGGCAGCTGGGATTGGCCGGCAAAGGGGGCGGTGTAAGGACCTGGGAGAGAGAAGGACACCACGCGCCATGGCCGCAGCCTCCCAGACTCGGGTAGCGCATTTGCTGAGGCAACTGCAGCGTGCAGCGTGAGTGCAGGGCTGGTGGGCGGGCAGGGGACCGCAGGATGCTGCTGTGCCACGCAGCCCCCTGGGTGTGACCCGCTCGGGGCCCTGCGCAGTCTTCACTTACTTTCAAGAATTCTGAGAAAGGGATACTGCCCTGCGCTCCCACCGTGCGCTGCGCCGGACTGCCAGATCACACTACGCAGTGCGTAGGGCCCAGTGAGGCAGCCTTTATCCGCTTGTCTACCGAAGGAAACAGGCCCAGAGAGGACCTGGTCCCACATCGTGACAGGCAGTGGAGAGCTTGACACGGTGGCCAAGACAAATTCATGTATGCAGTTGACATATATTATGTGCCAAAAATTATTCTACGTTCCGGGGATACTAAGATGAAAGGCTCTGGAGCAGTTTGAAGTCTAGCGGGGAATGGGATGAGGGGACAAGGGTAAAACCGGCCACAACAGACTGGGTGTAGAAGGGAAGGATGGGTGTGAGAAGTCGCAGAGTCACACTCCCTGGCGTGTACAGGGAGTCAGGATATTCAATGTTATGACACGCCTGCTCCCTGTAGAAATGCCAGGTGTATCGTGGTCCCCTAATAAATGTGCACATGCTGACTGCAAGTGCACAAGTCTGCCTGGGAAACATGGAAAAGTTTGAGCTAACAGGTGGAGATCAGTAGGAGGAAAGGCAGGGCCTGGAGAGGAATAGGCAGAGAGAAGAGCAGCGCCAGCGATGGAGGCGTAGTCCCAGGATCCAAAAGTCAACTCGACCTGCCTTCATAGGTGGAGGTAAGGATGGAGAAGACAGCTGATAAAAGACCATGAGTAAGAAAATAGCTAACACCATGAGCCAGGCAGTGTCCTACACACTTTAAATGGACTATCAGTATAATTATAACTCTAATTCTTTCACTGACCCTATGACATATGGTATTGTCATCCTCATAGATATGGAAATAAAGGCATGGAGAAGAATTTGACCAGTGTCCCACAGCTAAGCAAATGACAGTCATAATTTGAACCTGGATACTCTGGCTTCATAGTCCTTGTTCTCAGGCCTGTGCTACGGAA